GGTGGCTCACGCCTGTAATCCCAGCACTTTGGGAGGCCGAGGCAGGTAGATCACGAGGTCAAGAGATCGAGACCATCCTGGTCAACATAGTGAAACCCCGTCTCTACTAAAAATACAAAACATTAGCTGGACATGGTGGTGCGTGCCTGTAATCCCAGCTACTCAGGAGGCTGAGGCAGGAGAATTGCCTGAACCCAGGAGGCGGAGGTTGCGGTGAGCCGAGATCGCCCCATTGCACTCCAGCCTGGGCAACAAGAGCGAAACTCCGTCTCAAATAAAAAAAAAGAAGAGCATAAGGAGCAAAAACGGGGGAAATACACGAAATGGGGAAGGACGTTGAGAGAGCTGGAACAGAGAAGGGAAGGGAAAGTAGGGGGGAAGCAGTGCAGCTGGGATTTTAGGGGGGAAAGGAGGAGAGAGAGAGAAGGCATTGAGCAGCTGCCCTGTCTTAGGGCCTTTGGAGCAGGAGGAGAGAAGGGAAGTGGAAGAAGCGGAGACCTCATTCATCATAAGAAACTGAAGCAGAGCACGCACTTTGCCTCCTCCCCCAGGAAACCTCTAGTGAGGAGTGACATTGCTCTTAAGGGTTGGGCTCCAGTTTGTATCTCTAGGGACGGATTAGCTGAGATGACACTTACGGCTGAAGCAAGAAGGCCCAAATTTAGTTGGATCTGAAATTTTGTTTTGCAAGTTTGGAAATCCAGTCAGCTGAGAACTCCCTGGGACTCCACCTCGTCTGGGAAGATCAGGAGACAGCCCCACCCTGTCTTTGCTGAGCAGTGGAGGGCAGTCAGGTGGGCCATTGGGATGGGTCCTAATCCTGTGCGATCCTTCTTGCTTCAGATGAAAGTCTCATCTCAGCTAATCTATCCTCAGAGACAAAAACCAGAGTCCCAGCCCTCAAGAGCAACGTGGCCCTTCACTGAAGGTTTTCTGCGGCCCCGACCCAGGGGCTACACCAGCTCATCGTGGACCCCAGCGGCAGTATTTCCACTTTGCTGGCATCCTGGGTGCCGGTCCAGGGTATACCCATCTGGATTAGTTTCCTAAGGCTGCTATAAGAGAGACACAAGCTGGCTGGCTTTAACAACAGGGATTGGCTGTGTCACAGTTCTGGAGGCTGAAAGTCAAGATCAAGATGCTGGCAGAGCAGGTCCTTTCTAAGGACTGTGGGAAGGAGCTGCTCCAGGCCCCTGTCCGGGCATGTGGATCCGTCTTCATCTCCCCATGGCCTTCTCCCTGTATGTCTGTCTCTGTGTCCAAATTTCCCCTTTGTTTGAAAGCAGTCACAGCTGATTAAGGCTCACCCCAATGACCTCACTTTAACTTGATCACATTTACAGAGCCCCTATCTCCAAATGAGGTCGCCTACAGAGGTACTGGGGGTTCAGACTTCCACGTGCCAATCTGGGGCGGAGGAGACACAATTCAACCACCATGCTCACCGGCAGCCCATGGCCAGCACCCGCTCTCGGTGCCTGCACTCCCTACCCACTTTGGCGGTCACTCCAGGAGCTCCTTCCTTTTCCTTCACACGTGCTCACTTTGCAGCTGTCCAGGCCATCCTGCCCTCATCTGAAGAATGTGCAGAAATTCCCCAGAACTCAGGCTTGGTGACGTCACCCACCCCTGTTTTCAGCCAACGCAGTTTTATCCTAGACATCTGTTTCTCTGATAAATTCGGTAGGGACTGAGGAGGGAGGAGAGTCTCACGGGTGGGTTCAAACCCCTTCTTTGAGGCTGATGTTGCTTTAAAGATGCTTCCCTTGAGGGCCTCAAGTGGGAGGGGTGCTGTGTATGGGCCTGCAGACAGCTTCCTGCTCCTGCCCCATCCTGCCCTTGGACAGAGCTGGGCTGTGGTCTCATTTCTTAGGGGACTCCTCCGACCCTCATGGGGACATGTCTGCTCTCCTTAAAGCCTGGGTTCTCTGCTGCAGATGCCGGGGAAAGGGACTGTAGCTGGAGAGACTGAGGATTGAAAGGTACATCCAGGCCATGCAGAGTCACTTAGCTAAAGGCCGGGGTGGAGGTGGACAGCTGGGCAAAGGGGCACAGAGAGGCTCGGCCTGAGTTAAAGTTGAGGGGAGGGACTGCATTATCATGGGAAGGACAGGCAGCTTTGATCTGGATGAAGGAGCTCCCACGCCTCCTAGTCATCTAGGTACAGCAAAAGGTTTGCATTAAAACCCAAATCACTGCAGTAAAATACTGAGGGGAATGTGGTTCAGGAGAACAGCAATTTACATTTGAAAAACATTTTAAATCATGTCTTAAAGGATTCATAATTGTAGGGATTCTTAAAGCTAGTGGTTTGCATTCAGAGGCCTCAGGGGCCTCAGATTTCCCACAAAGGCTCCTGTGGCCTCCTACAAGGAAAAAGGAGAAAGAGGTGGAGCCGACACCAGAACCGCCGGGCTCTTTCCTTTCCAGCTCGCCCTGGCTTGGAGCAGAGGCCTCGTCTACCACCTGTTTGGTACAATAGGTTCCCACATCTGATTTTATTTGGTAAAAGATCTCCATGATTACAAAAAGTAAATGCATGCATGCATACAGGCATATATACATCAATGCCACTGGTTTAGCTAATGAGTTTTCCATGCACATAATTTTATATTTTTATAAGATTCTATGCATGGAAAAGTCATTTATATAGATACTCCACTATACAGTACCGATGCTCAACTTACCTATGATTTCAAGGTCGTAACTGCTGCGTGAAGTTGGACCTGTGTGTCTATAGTTCATTCCTACTGAGAAAGATCATCTTCAACACAATAAGAAACACACTTTAACCTAAGAGGGGTGTCATCTCCAGAGAGGGTGTTCCAGCCGTTGAAAACAAGAACTGTTCTGAAGCAAATCCACCTCTGGCTTAGATACTCTGGCAGGGTGTGTACCAAATTAGCATTTGAAAATGAAGCCGAGTAAGAGAACCTGCTCCTTTCTGAAGGAGGCCATGAGGGTGGAAATGTTCCACGAATCTGGCTGTCTCCGTGGGAAACCACCTCCTAAAGAAGGAAGATCTGAGCTTGCAGGGCTGCGCATCTCCCCGAAAGCTTCATGTTCCTGCTTCAGGGCTGTGCTTCCCAAGGAAGCTGATTGTGGGGCCATTTTCCTGGCGTTCCTATCTTGGGGAATTTAAGTTCTTCTATTTTGACATGCGGGGCAGTAAGCAGAGTGGCCGGAAGGAGAGTCTTCGGTGGCTGCCTGGCCCCTGGCCTGGTTTGATTCTGTTCCCCAGTCATTAGTGGAGCACTTCTATATTCAAAGCACAGTGGTAAGAGCTGGGAGTACAAAAGTGAGAAAAACAAAAGTCCTTTGCCCTTGAGGGGCTTTGGTGTAGTTGCAGGAGAGAGTCTCACGAACAGGTGCCTGAATGTCACGTGCAAAGTGCTGTCCTAAAAGTGCACTCTAGCGCCAAGGGGCACCAAGGTGAGGTAGTGTCCATTGCAGAAGCCAGGGGCAGCCTCTGGAGCAAATTCACCTCCACTTCTCACAGGACTCCATGGATCCTTGGTCTATAAATACCTCCAGCCATCACAAATGCACTTTCGCAGAAGGATTGAATTTCAGTATTAGAAGCAACCTTCATAGCCGTGAAGCCCTTCACGGATCTGATGCTGGAGGCCCCTCTAGGACACACCCACCAAAGGGCTTTTTTGAGTTGCTTTTAGGACAGGATACTCACTACCATATGGGGAAGTGCTTGGACTACCTGGGTGCCCATTGAGAGGCCTCTGGTTTTTAGAGCCTGCTGCCAGCTTTGGGGAGTGTGAAGGCTGAGGAATAATGCTCTCTGTGTGTCTGGCTCAGTCAGCATGCCCAGGGCTCCAGGCACGGGGATTCCAGGGCCTCAGGTTGCATCTAAAATGGTGTAGCCGAGCGGTCAGCTGCTGGTGGTCACTCTGAACACACGCTGCTCCTCAGGGCACGGCATGTGCCTCCCAAGGCAGCCAGCCCATTCCAAAGGGTCAGGGCAAAGCACACAGTGCCCTCAATAGTCTGTTCCCTTATTTGGCCTTGGGGCCTATGGTAACCTAAGCCTAGACGGGGGCCCTGGGCACTGCATCCCTCAGCTCAGCTCAGCCTCTAAGTGCCTTGTGCTTTATCTCCATGTGCTGCTTACCTTGTTTGGAGAGTTCTAATCTCATCACACCCTTCTGTTTCTCTCATGCCTACACGTCCCCTTTTATTCCAGGTGCATCAGAAGTTACAGTGCCCATGAGCACAGGGGCTGTGTCTCTAGTGAGCTTCTCCCAGTAAAGGCATATCATCCATGTCACTTCTACCTTCAACCCCAACATTCTCTGACTTTGTCTTTCAACTCCCTTGTCCTGATCTCTTGTTTTCTCAACCTCTGACACCCTTTCAGTCCAGACCTTGTTACCAAGTTCTCTATTACATGCTGCTTTGTGCTATTTCCCATTGGTTTCCTCTCTGCCATCCTCCTCCCAGAAAGCCCCTAATAAAGAAGAATTTTGTTTCATCCACCTCTGATATTCTTTGAAGCACATGTAGGTTACAATGAATGTTTATTGAATGAAGAAATGAAAATGCAATTTGGGCCCTGCTCCCCAAATCTGATCATATACAGGGAAACAATAACGAATAATCACAAAGAAGCAGGAGGAGTAGGTATAGAATACGGAGGCAGCCCAGAAGTCAGATGCAGTAAGTACAGGCCCTCAGGAGGCATCCGATTGCCGGACAAGCAAGACACGCACGAGATCCATTTCTTCCATCTCTGCTTGTGATCCATCCCACACAAACAACAAGCCACTTTGCGTTCCTTGCAACACACATCTTGGCTTGGTGCAAAAATAAGAAAAAATCTTATCATGAAGATCATGATGATTCCTTCTGCTCAATGCTTTATAGTCTTCAGAGCATTCTGTGAACAAATCACTTGTATATGCCAATGATGGATGAGATGTCTTCTGCAGCTCTTTCCAGATCAAATCCCTTAATTTGTGGAAAGAGTAGAGATCCCAAGTGACTTTCTTGAGTCCCCGCAAGCAGGTCAACATGGGACTGGAACCAGGATCCAAGGAGCTCCACGTTATCCCACACTAAATCCCCTCTGTCCAGCTGCCTCTCCCTCCCCAGCCTCTCCTGGAGTTGGAATGAACTTCTACTTCCACAGTACACCTCAAATGGTCGTATTATTGGACAGCATCTTTGCTTTCAGAAAAAATGCTATGGCAGGCACAATGACACCCAACTTACCTAGTGATGGCAAATTATATGTGGCTTTCCAAGCTGTACCTGGGGGTCCTCAGGGTCATTTCCCCCTAATTATATGCCTCCTCTAAGCCTTTCACAGTTGAAGTCCATTGAAGTAAAACTCTTCCCCCATTGGAATTTTTTTTTTTTTTTTGAGACAGAGTCTCTCTCTTTTGCCCAGGCTGGAGTGCAGTGACATGACTTTGGCTCACTGTAACCTCTGCCTCCTGGATTCAAGTGATTCTTGTGCCTCAACCTCCCGAGTAGCTAGGACTGCAGATGCATGTCACCATGCCCAGCTAATTTTTGTATTTTTAGTAGAGACAGAGTTTCACCATGTAGGCCAGGCTGGTCTTGAACTCCTGACCTGATCCACCTGCCTTGGCCTCCTAAAGTGCTGGGATTACAGGCATAAGCCACTGCACCCAGTCTCTGATTGGATTTTCTTAGTAATGTGGTGACACAAGAGTGCAAAAAACAGACAAAAAAACACATTAAAGAATCACCATTGAAGAAATTTGGGAAGGGTCTCCTCTTTTAGTCATTGATTTTAATAGGAACCAATTCCAAGATTATTCCTAGGTCAGTAGGAGTATAATGTAAGTAGCCCTGGTGGTAAAGTGGTCTCTTCGGAAAAAAGGAAAGAAACTTGGAACCAGTTCCTGTGGTGTAAATATTCCCACCACGGCCAATTTTAAGCTAACAATGCAATGTCGCTGTACACAGAGCTGGGAAGAGGCTTACCTAGTTAAGTGCCTGCCACAGCCAGCACCTTTACTGAGATTTCACTATGAGATAGGCACCCTTTCAGGCTCATTGAATCCTAGCACTTCACTATGATTTATCTATAAAAATAGGGAAAATGAAAATAGGTGCTTACAGCTTTTGCGATGATTGAGTGAAGTCATACACACTAAGTGGTTGACAGCAGTGTCTGGCACATGGTGAGCATTCAATAAACAAACACAACCAGCATTGCCATTACTACCGCATGCATTGAATCTTCTCATCAGCCAGCGGAAGCAGATGCACACCCCACAACCAACAGGACCCCTCCTTGGTGAGCATGTGTGTGGCTAGACCTTGGAACATTGTGCATGGTCTTCTGGCCTCCCAGGGAGGGCAATGTCACACATTCATCTTTTGACCCTGCCCCCCCCCCAATTTCCCAGTCCTCCCTGAGGACGACAAAGTGGAGTGCTCTGGGAAGACAGAAGCAACAAAGGGGATCTTTTGTCACAGAGCAGAGCATTTAGCTAAAAAGAGAGGCACAGACTAAGAGGACAAGGCAAGAGTGACCTCAAATGGCCAGAGCTGGAGCCCTGGGGCAGCAACACAGGAGGCAGGTGCAGGTCCATTAGGCCATCCTACAGGCCAGGCCTCCTACAAGGGTATCTGCCCCACCTGCTCCACCCCTGCAGCAGGTCCTGCAAAACCACCTGTACGCTGTGGTTGACACTGAACTGTGGGGAGGATGCTGAGGGTACATTGAGCTGAAAGCAGGTGACTTCCTTCCCACCCAGACAGTACACATAGCCCATTCACTCAAACCAGAACCTTCCCGTTCCTCTCATCTACCCCCTCTCCATTGCAAGCACACATTAGCGTGGTCTCTGAGAAAGGGAGGAGAAGACGCCCAGCTCTAAATGTGTTCGCTAGTATGTGTGTGAGGATGGGGTGTTCATCCTGGCTTATAAGTACCAAGCTGGGGGCATCTTTCTACCCTGAGGTTTGAGTGATTCTGCAGCAATAGATGCTCAAGGGAGAACAGCAGAGGCATCCAACAGACGACTCCTGCGGCTCACCCAGGTCAGGGTGGGTGCACGTGGGGCTGTCTTGTAGCTGCTTCTCTGAGGAACTGAGTTCTGCTCCCCAGGTTCCTCACACACTCTCAAAGATGGCCTCTCCTGAGGCCACAGACGGCACCCTGGCCAAACTGCCCAGGACAGGGTTACACAATGGGGGCCTGTTCTTGTGGAAGCCAGGAATATTCCAAGAGAAAGAAGCCGAGAAGAAAAAATGCCTAAATTACTGTTTTTGCTTCCTACACCTCACCCACTCAAAACATTAACTTCATACCAAGCTCCCACTGCGTCAGTGTCCAGGGACTTCAGGAGGCCCAGGAAGGAGCAGAAGAAGCCCGGTCTACGCCAGCTCTGGCAGCGAGTCAGCCCCATGACCTCAGCCCCAGGCTTCACAAGCTTTGCGTTTCCCTAAATGTTTGATGGAATCATAGGCAGCAGCTGCAGGCCAATGATGCCAAAGGCTGGATTTGATTTTTCTGATTTGCATTTTTTTTCTATTTTGCTTTCTTTTTAAGTGGAAAGCTTATATCTTCAGACTGCTACATTCATTGGTAAATTCAAGTTTTGACCCGTCCCATCACATCCGCTATCTACAATCCAAGCCACAGCCCAACTTCACTGTGTCAGGTTTCAGGCAGGGTTCTAACTTCAGGGGAACTGAGGGAATGAAGATGACTAGCTTTTATTTTACTATCTCCTTGTTATGAAGTTTGACTTTTCGGCAGGGAACGGGGCTTGTTAAACAATAGGTTAAGAAGCCTATATTCCATGCACTATTCTGGGTACCTAAAAAAGCGATCAAAAAAAAAAAAAAACTTCAGAAAGGTCTTGTGTGCTTACTCTTACCAGAAATTAAAAGAGATTTCAAAACTGCATTATTGAAAATATTTTATTCTGGTGCATAAATAGCCTAATGGATCAATGAGCCAAAGCAAAAAGTCTCGAAAGAGACTGGAAAATATAAAATAATGCATAAGGCAAATTTCACATTAGTACAGGAAAGATGGATGATTCAATAAATATTGTTGGAAAACCTGGCCAATCATAGGGGGAAAAAGTCAAACAAAATCTTCCTTCATGTCTTTAGACTAAGATAAATTATGGGTGAAAAAATATATATTTAATTTTTTTTAAGTTTTAAATATCAGAAATAAACATAAGGCAATCTTCTCATATAATCTTGGGAGAGGAGAAAGCCTTTCTAATCAAGACAAAACTCAAAAGCCATACATGAAAATATTGATAATGTTGACTATGTAAATACTTATAATTTCACATATACCAAAAATACTAAAGTCTATCCAAATACAAATGAAAAGGTTGGGGAAATGTTTGAAAGACAAATTATAACAAAAGACTAATAGATAAAGGGATTCATATAAAATAGGACTTTGACCCACAAGTAAAAGGCCAAGGACTCATTTTTTTAATGAGCAAAACATATAAACAA